TAACCACAGTTGGTTTAACCAGCAGATCACTCAAGACAACCACCTGTCTCCCTAGCTGAAGTACATCACTGGATAAACAAGGCGTGTACAGGTATGACAATGTACAGAATATCCCCATGCCGTACCATATACACTAAATTTTAACACTGCATACCTAAACTTGACTACAGTGACCATAATGTCCGTACGTGTTCCCATTGTGCATAGGCATACGGCTGTTGATATGACTGTGGAATGAATAGTTTCCCATTTTCCTCATACTCGATCGGCTTCTTATCAGTCTGCTCCAGGAAGTGGCTATTAAGCTGGTTACTCAGATTGGTGTTAATTTGCGCTGTCAAATTTGTGTTGATCTGAGCTGTAATATTGGAGTTTAGTTGCGCTGTTAGATTCTGGTTAATCTGGGCTGTCAGATTGCTGTTGAGTTGAGTACTGAGATTGGTAGGCAACTGGTTATTCAGCTGCATCTTTTCAGGCAACTGCTTCTGAGACTCATACAGCCTCCTCTCGCTGTGCACAAAGCTGTGGCTGTTGAGGTGACTCTCATGTGTGAACCTCTTCTTGCAAGTTGGACACTCGAACTTCTTTTCTTCACGGTGTACAAAACTGTGGCTGATGAGGTGGCTCTGGTGAGTAAACTTCTTGCCACAATCCTGACACTCATACCGCTTTTCCTCAGTATGAACAAACCTGTGGCTGTTGAGATGACTCTTCTGGGCAAACCTCTTCCCACAGTCGTCACACTGGAACCTCTTCTCATCATCATGAACAAACCTTGTAGTGTTTGGGGGCACCTTCTGAGTGAACCTCTTGCCCCACTCTTGACATTCCAGTTTTATTTCCTCATTGTGCATGAATCTATGACTGTTGAGATGGATTTCTTGATTGAAACGCTTTCCGCATATCTCACACTCAAAACGCTTTTCTTCACTGTGCACAAACCTGTGGGTGCTTAAATGGCTCTCCTGGGAGAACCTTTTCCGACAAATTTCACACTCAAATCTTTTTTCCTCACTATGTGCAAATCTGTGGCTATTAAGGTGACTTTCTTTACCAAATCGTTTGCCACAAATGTCACACTCGAACTTTTTCTCGCTGTGCACGAACATATGGCTATTAAGATGGCTGATCATATTGAAACGCTTTCCACATAGGACACACTCAAATTTCTTCTCATTGTGCACAAGCATGTGGCTGTTGAGGTGACTTTCCATGTTGAATCTCTTACCACAGAGCATGCACACAAATTTCTTCTCAGTGTTATGAACTAGCATGTGGCTATGGAGATGACTTTCCATGTAGAATCGCTTTCCACAAGTCTCGCATTCAAAGTTTTTCTCACTGCTATGCATCAGCATATGACTGTTAAGGTGGCTGTCCATGTAGAACCTTTTCCCACACAATAAACACTCAAATTTCTTCTCATTATGGACCAACATATGGCTGTTTAAGTGACTCTCCATGTGGAACCTTTTGCCACACAATAAACATTCAAATTTCTTTTCACTATTATGTACCAGCATGTGGCTGTTTAAGTGACTCTCCATGTTGAAGCGCTTGTCACATAAAGAACATTCAAACTTCTTATCATCATTGTGCACTAACATGTGGCTGTTAAGATGGTTCTCCATGTTAAATCTCTTGCCGCACAGCAGGCACTCAAACTTCTTCTCTTCGCTATGTACAAGCATGTGGCTATTGAGGTGGTTCTCCATGTTGAACCTCTTCCCACAAAGCAAACACTCATATTTTTTCTCCTCACTATGTTTCAACATGTGGCTGTTGAGGTGACTCTTCTGGCTGTACCTCTTTTTGCATTTTCCACACTCATATTTCTTTTCTGTGTTGTGAACAAGCATGTGGCTGTTAAGGTGATTTTCCATAGTAAATTTCTTGTCGCACAACTTACATTCATACTTTCTCTCAGTCATATGCACAAGCATATGACTGTTCAAATAGTTCTCCATTGCAAATCTTTTACCACAAGTCTGACACTCAAACTTTTTCTCTCGGCTGTGTTCCAGCATGTGACCGTTAAGATGGCTTTCCATAGAAAATTTTTTTCCACAAATCTCACACTCAAACTTTTTTTCCTTGCTGTGCCACAGCATATGACTTGTCAGATGACTCTTCTGTGCAAACTGTTTACTGCATTTGTCGCATTCAAAGGGCTTCTCACTGGGCTTGGCTTCAATCTCCTTCTGATCAACCTTTAGGTTTGCTTGCGATGGGAAGTTTGAATAGAGAGACTCACTGTTGTGCACAAGGGGTTGTGCCCCCACAATGCCTGCCTGGTTCACAGCATGATACTTTCCTGGATAAGGGACATGTAGTCCTTCCATTATGGAGCAGGAACTCGAGATCTCGTTTGAGCCGTTTCACTCATTCCAAAAAAATTCCAATCTTTTCGCATAATTCGGTAATCTCACAACTTGTTGTCTTGCTATTCGATGTTCAACTTCAGTTTTGTACTCGTGTCGGAACATCAGTACTCTTGTTT